TTTTTATTTTGGCTACGTTGCGCACTGGTAGGAGATCACCAGCGCCGACATTGTAACACTGTATCAACGTAATCCCAACGCAACTTTGAACTTTGAATGAACTGTAAATGCTGCCTTCATTCTAGAAAATACTATCGCAAAACGGATGGAAATAATAAATGATGTAACAGAAGAATACATCCTAGTAATAAACTAAGTGACTTCTAAAGACTGAATGATTTTTGCAAACTTCGTATATGGGCCCATTTAGTTATAAATCGACGTTAGCTTCACGTTTATGTCACACTATGGAAACAACCAAAAACATGTTGCTTGTTTTTGAGCGGAGCGGAGCGGATTGCCAACCAGCCTACCGGCTTGTTTCAAGGTGTTTGTTTACTTTGACATGTTCCACATTTAGTTTTGAACTCACATAAAGCTCAAATTTTGTCATAATAATGCCAGTTTTTATAAAAATTCATGATACAATTTGTCACGTTATGTACAAATGAGGAGAGATTAATGTAACAATTTCTTGTATTGTACATACTGTGGAAATGCTTATACCATGAGCCATTGCATTGTTGTGCGCCCTCTGTAGGCAACTATTGAGAAGCAAGACTAATACAAGCGCTTTCATCATTAACATGACCAAAATCACTTGACCCAAATCACTTAAACAAAAATGGAAATTGATCACAAAACAAAATTATGTGCATATGGTGTATGTGTCAAGTTTCAATGTGATCAGTCTAGGCAAGTTCAAAATACTGGTACACATGGGCAGTTGCGAGTAAACACAGAGAATAAAGGTTAGAGGCTACCATTTAAACAGATGATCAGATTTCCTAGACTTTTACAATAGTGTTTTATTTTATGCTGTCATATTGGAACTATTTTTTGTAAACAAACTGGTCAAACATCTATGAAAATTATAATTTTGGGGACATTTATCATTAGTTTATATAGTAAAAAAGTATTATCAAATTAAAAAATTTTCTTTAACTACAAATGGTGAAATCAGATGGGTACCAAGAATTAGAATTATTGAAAAATTCTAATATGAATGAATGCTATTTATTTTTTTGGAAAAAAAAGATTAACATGGATTTGAAATTGCACCAAAAATATCACAGTTATTTTCCAACGAACTAGAATTTACCAGACAGGGGTATGTAAATTATGTACCTATGTAGGGTGATATGCAACAAAGATCAGGTTTGATTGTGTAAACAAATGAACGAAAATATGTCAAATCGAAAATTCACATAATACATGCTTTGCAAATTGAAATAAAAACCACTCAATTTTTTCTAAAACTCACTCATTTGCATTAGTATTACTAGGAATGTGTGCTCTACGATTTGTAAGCATCTTGCAATTTTAATGACATCAAAATCAGATCTTCATTGTGCATCACTCCAAGTTGCATAACAACCATCTTATAAATCTCTGGTGTCAACTTACATATTTACAGAGGCGTTCATTGCTAATATAGAATCCAGTGTTTTAACAATTCTGTCTTTGTTCACTACAGAGTGTGGAGATGCCCAGTGGTCTAGCCATCCTGTGTAATATTCAGAATTGATCTGTAAAAGAGACAAGTTTTAAGTTCTGTCATTATCTCAGAAACTTTTGATTTTGATGCGTAAACGTAAATAGCTCATCAAAACACTGGGAACTGAATAAATTGTAAAAAACTAGAAATCACCCCTTCCAATTCTCGCACAAAAACAGAT